ACAAGCTGGAGGAGGCCTTGCAAATCAGCTACAGCCCGATCACATACTAGCAAGAGTAGATAAACAAGAGTGTGCAACTCCGGATCTCTTCTGCACAATCTGCAGATACCTTCGCCCACGGCGGAATTTTTTGTTGACGTCACCTTTTTTCAGGGAAACGCGGACTTTGCCGCAGAGCAGTGTGAGAGCACGTGCTGGGCACCGACCTTGTAGTGCAAGCCCCGCCAAGTGCACGAGGGAAACCTCTCCGAAAGGCTCGCAGCGCGTGCGTCGTCGAAAAGATTACGTCAACAAAAAATTCCGCCGTGGGCCAACCCATCCGCGAGTTGCACACTCTTGTTTATCTACTCTTGATACTAGTACATTGTATTCCACAGGTACCGTACGCGCTCAGCCGTGAAAGGCTTCACAACTCCCTGGCGCCATGGCATGGCCTATAAAAATATCATACTTCTGTTGCAAAAGAAGGATCCACGAGCGGGATTCGAACCCAGCAGCCCTGTCTTTCCGGGACAGTGCCCTACCGATTAGGCTACCGGGGATCACACACACTCATGGGTCCTTCTTGCTACACTGCTCCCCCGCCCCAACAGGCTGTGTCCTCACGCCGTACCTAGCTCGCGGGGGGTACGATGGGTCGTGGGTTCGAGCCATTGCCAGGCGCCAATGTTGCAAAAGAAGGATCCACGAGCGGGATTCGAACCCAGCAGCCCTGTCTTTCCGGGACAGTGCCCTACCGATTAGGCTACCGGGGATCACACACACTCATGGGTCCTTCTTGCTACACTTCGAAGTAGTATAATCGACTCGGAGTCCATAACCATGGGGTTATAAGCTCTTGGTATAATGTATGTATATGGCTGGGGTACATGTACGTCGTGAAAGATCAAGAGTAGTTGTACTTGTGCATATGGTGGGTTTACTTGTATGTATTAGGACTGTAGTCTTGATTTGACCTTTGACCCTTGAGTCGTTTTTTTTGTTGAGAGGAGGGAGCAGTAAGAACTAACTACAATGTAATCACGGTAATAGTGTAATTACATGATGTACGTAGAAGAGTACAAGTACGTATTTTACTACTCCCTGCTTGAGACTTGATGAGAGGCACGGAGCCTTTGCTGCCCCCCCCCTCCCCCCCCCCCCCCCGCCCGGTAAATAAGACATGTACTGACTACTGTACTTGTACTTGTTGCTCACTGCCAAAACTGGTCACGTGGGTCTCCCCGGGAGAGGGGAGAGCTAGAGAGACTCAAAAGGAATCTTGGAAAGATGACTCAATTGGCTATTAATGAACCGCCCAACGGCCGACACCCCCTGAAATCCCCAAAACTCTGGGTGGACTTGAAAATGATCCCACTTATGGGCTCACCACACCTCAGTAAGTGGGTGAGGACAAGGTGCAGAAAAAGGATTGACGGCATCAGAGTATCCGTCCAGGGATCCAACTGCAGTTACCCCTGCCCCCAGTGAAGGTAATACTTGCTACTAGTGTGGGTGGCTAATCAGAGTGGATCTGATATAAGCTTCGCTACTGTATAGGATATCAATGTACTCTTGATATTACCAAAGATCGAACTTATTATAGCTATCGAAAAGGGGCTCTCGAAGCCCCTAAATACCTCCACAATAAGGAGCCCTGCATTTCAGTTGCTTCTATTCTCCTTTAGTAGTACACGTACACACAGCCATCTGAACTGCCTCTGAATCTATTTTTCTCTCTTCTTGGTCACTCTCTCCACCTCTCCCTCTCCCTCTCCCTCTCCCTCTCCCTCTCCCTCTCCCTCTCCCTCTCCCTCTCCCTCTCCCTCTCCCTCTCCCTCTCCCTCTCCCTCTCCCTCTCCCTCTCCCTCTCTCTCTCTCTCTCTCTCTCTCTCTCTCTCTCTCTCTCTCTCTCTCTCTCTCTCTCTTTTTTTTTTTGGTGAAAAAAGGAGGACAAAATGTTACGAGTTATGACTAACTGTCCACCAACGTAACCAGATATTATACAGTCAGCGAGTGCGACAAAATGGCACAAAACTGACAAGGAGTACCGAGACATTCGGCGACCTGACACCTAGCTCCAACACTTCTCCAAGGCGCAAACCAACAACCTTCCAACTTGGAAGGCTCAGGTTCGGAAAGGTCCAAGAGGGGAAGGAAAGCGCAACGAAGAAGAGCACGAGCTGCGCATCATCAATTGTCGCGCTGTGAGTTGGTGTGGCTGTGAGTTGTCTTGGCTGTGACTTGTCTGTGAGTTGTCTTAGCTGTGATTTGACGACACTGTGTGCTATCGGCTTTGAGTTGTCGTGCTGTGAGCTATCTCGCGGTGACCTGTCGTGCTCCCAGGTACTGGTTGTCGGTCGTGACAATAGGACCTGTCGGAGACGCGGTCTGCGGCTTCAGAAGCGAGATCTTGCACCCAGACTCGGTCGCCTTGGATCAATGGTGGCAGAGATTGTGCTCGGTGTGACGAGTCTTACGTCTCACTCTGTCTGTCTTTCTGCCTCACCTCGAACTTCCTTAGCTTGGCAATATCAGGCCAACTTGGAGCGAGGGGTTCCGCTGTACATGGGAGGTGTGTGCGTAGACGACGACCGAACAGGAGCTCGGCTGGCGAGTAGCCATTTGCGAGGGGTGTTGACCTGTAACTGAGTAAGGCATCGTTGAGGCTGTTGTTGGTCTTCAGGAGACGCTTGAAGGTTCGAACCGCTCGCTCAGCTTCACCGTTGTTCTGTGGGTAGTGCGGGCTACTGGTGCGGTGGGTGAGCTGCATTTGGGCTGTGAATGCGGCGAATTCAGCACTTGCGAACTGTGGACCGTTGTCCGACACAAGGACTTAAGGGATGCCATGGATGGCGAACAGCTCGTGGAGTTCCTTGATGACGGCTCCAGAGGTAGTCTTCCGTAGCGGGATGGCGTGAATGTACCTGGAGAAGTAGTCGACAGCAATGAGGTACTCCTGACCGTCATGTTGGCAGAGGTCGACTCCTGTTCTCTCCCATGGCAAAGAGGGAAACGCAGTTGGAGACAGAGGCTCTGGCGGCTGAGAACGATCGGATGCTTGGTGCAGGTCAGGCAGTTCTGCACGCATTCTGAAATGGCACGTGTAATACCTGGCCACCAGACGGAGGACTTCGCACGGGCCAGGCACTTGGTTATGCCTTGGTGACCGTCATGCAAAGTGGCAAGTGTAGCTTTGCGCTCGGATGCCGGGACTACGATCCGAAATCCGTGGTACAGCAGACCGTCGTGAACTGAGACAGGGTGAAACTACTTGTTATCGCAGTCGACTCGTGTCATGCATGAGGAGTACCTTCCTTTATCTCTGATATTGCTGACCCACGCAAGTTGGGTGGGGTGTTGCTTTGCTGCTTCGAATTGTAGTCAGACCGCATTATCATGATTGTTATTGGTCTCGTCATCGTCCTGTAACAGTCGGCATTCTTTGTTGCCGTGGGACTTAGCTTGTGCACATTTCCGCTGCGCTCACCTTTCCCTCGATCTTTGGTCCTACCCTACATTGAACCTTCCAAGTAACATACATGTAGTTGGAAGGCTGTTTGTTTGCGCACTGGAGATGTGTTAGAGTCAGGTCGTTGACTACAGTGCTGGCAACTGAAATCCGACCCCCTGAGCGGTGGGTTCACTTTCTAGCGGCCTCTGTTTGGTAGTTTTACCATCCCGTGTTGGGTCTTTGCGATGTGAGCGCACCGCTCAGGGGGTCGGATTTCAGTTGCCAGCACTGTACTATCTACTGTAAAAGCGGAAAGTCTAACGAGTCACAAAGTCCAACGTTTTAACGACCAATTTTTTCGTTATTTGAAGAAACGTTATCGCGAACCCGGTTTGAGGTGTCTGTGTAAATGTGCAGATGGGTGGCCAGGTAGCCATCGTTAACCTTTCTGCACGTTATCATGCCAAAATTACAAAAACGCAGTGCTGCAACAAGTGGTGTTTTCTTCGAACGATTATTCCGCCTCGAATAATTGCTTTGGCGAACGAACGAATATTCCCTATTCTTCTGATGTGGCTCAGTCTCTTCACTCCATCAGACCCAACAGTCATAATTATTATCTACTGATCACGTGGATAGTCAATAGGAAGAGCAAATTTGTACAAAGAATAAGCTTCACAGTTCTCAGAACATATTCTCTTCACTTTCATCCTCAACACTACAGTATAGAGGAGATAATGGTTGGAGCTGCGTCATACAGCAACACAGCATGGATTTCGAATGTTACTGCCTGCATTCGAATATTCTTTCTGGTGTCGGTATTCTAGAATATTCCGAATATGCGAATATTCCCTTGCATCACTGATACTACCGTACATGCACATGACTGTACCATGTGTACTGTGCGTGTAATTTTAGACCACAGATAGGCGCCGGCGGATTATGCTCGCGAAATCATGGAATTATGCTTTCATGGATTCTCGCATTATGCTCGCAAATTCCTCGTATTATGCTTTGGCACGCGAGGATACATATCCACTTTGTTGTACTTATGGATCCTCGAAGTTCGGAAAATAGTGCCTTTTTCGTACTTGCAAGTGGCCATAAGTACAACAAAATACAATGTACATGAGTATCCCCATACCAAGGTGTCCATGCATGCTAGAGATCAACATGGAAAAGAGAAAAAATACTTCTTCTATTCATTAGTTGACTTCTTTTGTAAAAAGATTTTTTCATCAACTGTTCAAACAAATTTTATGAAGAGATTGTGTCCCGGCGTCATTACCATGATTACTGGCATTAGAACGATTTTTAGAGTTTTGCAGTGGAATTGTCATGGCGATGATGACGTACGATCAGATCGACCATCTCCACATACTACGTGACGTAGCTATTCCAAACTCTTCGACTAACCCACCTAAGCCCTTCCCATGATCGGATGAGTTTCGAGGAACTTCGTTTTTCTGAAGAGGCCAATAAGGCCACCTCTTCAGAAAAACGAAACTCCTTGAAAAGTCAAAGAGTGACAATTCGAACGCGCCCCAAGTAAGTTCAAGTCATTACGTTGTCCATTGGTTGTCGCCGCGTGCCAATTGTTTTTCTCTTGGTGACCGGTGGGCTTGCCGGTTAGCAGGCTTTGGCGTTCCGCGGCGCAGAGTCCTAGCAGTGCTACAAGCTGAAGTCCGCTTCCCACATTACTGCTCGGACATCTCTGTCGTTAGTTAGGTCGCCGGTGATTGTTTGCCTGATTTTCCAGCCCGTCCGTTCTTCAAGAGCTGGCCGCTGACGATCTCATTCATAGCGCGGTCAGTGCCGTATCACAGACACTGCCCGCAGTCACTACATATTGCGCAAGCAAGCTCAGCAATACTGCGTTGGCATCATGAGCAAAGCGGTCGGCAAGTTGCTGCCCGGCAGTACCAGCAGCAGCCGGTCCACTGGTAGCGGTGTCGGCAATGGCATTGGTATCAGCAGTGCCGCGAGGAGCACGGCAGACGGCGGAGACCACGACTCGGTCTTCAGTGAATCGTCGGAGATCGCGACACACAAGGTACATTCACATTGTTCTGCCTAGATTGCGGGAATTGCACACTCTTGGGGGGGGGGGGGGGGGGGGGAGAAGTACATGTACGTCGATCTACGGACTCTTTGCTTGCAGGCATAATGTTCTTTAGTTCTAGTTGGCCCGGTTTAGCTGTTTGCCAGGGTAGTACAGTTGTGGCCAAAGAAATGCGACCCGTGATCTGAAAGCAGTGTCAGTGTTCCTGCGGCCCTCGCAGGGTTTTCGGACCGTGCGTGATGTAATTGAAATGGAAATGCGGCTTTGCTTTTTAACTCGCGGGTCTGTATTTCTTTGGCCACAAATGTGCTTCGTAATTCATTGATTGCAAGTGCACATAGTAGTAGTTGAAAATGCATTACATGTCGTCCACAATCACCGTATATTCTCTATTATAAGCACAGGTCTCCATTACTAGCACAGTCTCTAATACTAGCACACTGTGAGCACCTTTCGACCTTTTCGACCTTTCTCTAGACTGCTTCATGCCTCTATTTTGGGAGCAACTGGGGCTGTCTGTGGCTTCGGGTGGGGGTCCCTGGTGGTAGGCCCTTCTCCTTTGTGGGGGTCTCTTCCTTTAGCCGGGCGGGCGGGCCCAGCAGCTCAATCGTGTGGGGTAGCTACTTTGAAAAGTATCAAGTATGTTAGCATCGGCGGCTGATAACGCCCATGAGCCACAGTTGTATGTTTGTACCTTTACACTAAAACTCCCCACTTATTTATTTATTTATTTTATTTCACCGTCCAATGGCAGAAGCCAATGCAAAGGAGGGGGCGTTAGCCGGCCATGGCACATCCGGGCATGGCACATCCGGGCATGGCACATCCGGGCATGGCACATCCGGGCATGGCACATCCGGCCATGGCACATCCGGGTTGCAGGTTGGGACCGAGCACTGCCCGTAACGCAGAACTAACTTACATACTTGCTGCATGCAAGAAAGCTTAAAAAATTCAAATCAATTGTTTTTGGGGCCCTGGTTTTTTTTCCGTTGGAAAGCCCATTTTTTGTGACTCTAGATGGATCAGAAAGGTCCCTGGTAGATGGACGTGCCCGGACTAGGGACGTCCAGATCTGGGCAGTTTGAATGCATAGCCCATAGTGACTATAGTCAATGCAAAGGCAATGTAGAGGCACAGGCAGGTCAATTTTTCTGTCAATTTCTACAATTTTCCTGCTCGTCCGAGTGTTGGCAAGCATGCTGTATGCGGTTGCCACCAGTTGCCGTCAGCCACGGCTTGATGTCTGCCGATTCACCGTTTTTTGTTCTCCCTCACGCCATTTCTGATGACCCTCAGTTATTTTGTTTCCTGTCACCCCTGTTTGAAATTGTACATGGTACTGTTGAAGCAACAAACTAAAGTTAAAAAAACGTAGAGCGATAGTAGAATTTATTATTTTGATAGGGGAGGCCCGTGGATGCACTGGATCGATCCAATGATGATCCATCCCTTGCAGTTTTGTGTTGCCAAGTACATGTAGTACCATGAGTAGGGCTTACACGGTCACAACTTTTGCATGACCGGGTATCCTCTAAAGAAAGGATCAGAAGAAGGTCCAAGAGCTACCTAGCTGCATCACGCTCAACGACTCTAGTCATCATCTCGAGTAGCTTGGCTCTATGGCTCTACTTCTAGTGGCATATGCTTTCCACATGTGCACACCACAAATCAAGCATTGCCTTATAAATTGTTGGGCCTTTGCAGCCGCCGAATCCCGGCATTGGCAAGTCCATATGATATCAGCAGTGCTCCGTTTCGTCCTTGATCCACTCCGTGATGGAGACTGGAAGCTGGATGTTATGCGACGCAGGGTGATAATCAACAGGCATTTGCGCATTGTATTTAGCAGGATGTTGGGGCGAATGCTGGTAAGAGTTTGGCTTCCCTGGCTTGGGTAAGAGGCGGTTTACACGACGGCAGGATTCATGCCGTGCGTGATGCTACCATGGAGATTCAGTCACATGTACTCATATTTTGGCGCGAACGTATCCCGCCGGCTATCCCGGTACGGTCCCGGTGCCATGAGGGGGCCGGGGGGGGGGGGGGGGGGGCTGGGTGGTGGAAATGCATACCGTGACATTTCGTGGACTGTGTTGTACTACAGGTACTGTACGTGCATCCTGCCGTGTGAATCGATTTTCGTTTTTCCCGTATCACGGCAAGCTCTCGGGATCACGTGCTTGTCTTCCCGGCGGGGTGCACTGCCGTCGTGTAAATCGCCTCTAAGGGGAGCACGAGTGTACCGCCTTGAATAGCAAAAAGATCGATATCTACGAACATCGCTCCTATCCTGTCACAGGTAGCGTGGCCGAGTGGTCTAAGGCGCTGGATTTAGGCTCCAGTCTCTCCGGAGGCGTGGGTTCGAATCCCACCGCTGCCAGACTCATCTTTTTTCTTCTTCAGACTCACTTTTTTTCTTTGAAAAGGGTACAATATGTACATGTACCGTAAAGCCCCGTCTGGCCAGAGCGCCCCATCTTGATTTTACAGCCTGGGAAAGGAAAGTTGTATGGCAGAGTGCAACGAAGTTTGTACGGTGTGAGAACCTTAGACTTAGGGGGTGATTATATGTGCACCTCCAGCCCGGGCTGGTCGACAGGCGGGCGAGCCCGCCTGCAACGGGATCTCGGGGTTGTACACAAATCCACACAAAACCTGTGGTGCGTTTACATGGCAAGCGGGCTGGCCCGGCGAGGCGGGATCCCGCCTCGAGGCACCCGGGATCCCGGCTAGGCGGGCCAGAAAAAGCACATATAAACATACCAGCCCGGGCCAGAGTTGTATTATTATGGTGTCGACACTGCGTTCATACTACAAAATAGTTACTTTTACCTTTTGAGGGAAGTTATAAAGAGGATTCCCGATATTGTCTTGAAAATCTATGAAGCTTTTTGTACAGCAACAAGAAGGACGTGCAGTGAGCACTGTTTATTTGTCGACATGCAGGATTTACATTAAAATGGAAGGGGAACTACTTGCAAAATACTTTGATATGGACAGCTAAAAATGTGAAAAACAGGGAAAAGAAACGAGGTGATACAACACACCAAACATGTGCCACAGCGCGAAAAGAAATCAGCAGAAGAATACATTGTGTGAGAAAAAAAGTTGTTAGGTTTATAAGCTGAGTATGGCTTGCAGCCCTGCGTTTCAGCCCGGGGCAGCACACTACAGTCGTAGTGTGTTCGCTGCATACTCGCAACGGGCTGGCGTGTGCTCAGTGCATATAAACTCACTGCGGGCTGGCGACCAGCCCGGCCTTGCACATGTAAACACCCTTGGCGGGCTGGCCCGCTCGCTCCAGCCCGGGCTGGAGTTGCACATAATTATAATAGGCCCCTTAGTGTATGAGATGTTCACACTTAGCAGGATTTGTGTGGAGCTCGTGTCCACCGGAAGGATTGACTGCACAACGTGCAATATGTGTACAAGGTCCATGTTGTATGACCTACAGATAGGTCACCACCTCCACACTACGACCACAAAAGGACGAGATGGTGGGGCGCTCTGGCGGTACTTTACGGTACATGTATAATGTCCATGCAAAAGAGCTTGTGGACAGTTTGACATGCAGGTTTCCATAGTGTAGCGGTTATCACGTTCGCCTAACACGCGAAAGGTCCCCGGTTCGATCCCGGGTGGAAACATGTGCTTCATTTTTTTTTGTCCCGGACACGGAGTAGTAAATTACCGGTATTTTACTACTCCTGCCTGGGACCGGGGAGTAGTAAAACACTGATATTTTACTACTCCATGCAGATCGGGCAGTTCTACCACCATGTGGCTACATTTTTCGCCAGCAGCTGTAGCCAGGGAGTAGTAAACTATCAGGTATTTTACTACTCCCTGGCTGTAACACCACAGTTTTGGGTGCGAGGCTTGTCCGTTCTGTATGCGTTTTAATACTTCCCAGTGGATAGACAGTACTTGATAGAAAGGTTATTCCAGTACACCATCAGTTGAGATTCCGTATTTTCCGGAGCAAAAAAAATTCACGGTTCGCGTGAGATTCGGCCGAAGGCCCAGTTTTCCGCATCCGCAGGAACGCCTCGCTTTCACTATTCCGCAAATCTATACGTGACCACATAGGGTACCCTGTAAAAAGACCGTAGACCTGTGGGGATTGCCCTATTCAAAATTTCAATAATAGTAATAATAACGCCACCACCCTCTTGGATCAAGGTGCAGATGCAACTCCTCGCGGTGGTAGGTGAGTAGATCAGACCCGGACCAGACCAGAGCATAAGCCGCACTTCAAACACCGGTAGTTCAGCCAGAAAACTGAGTCGGTGCAGCTGATACTACGATGGTCAAAGTAACGGTGATAAACAGGGTAGGTATCTGTAATTCTTGCCGAAAATCAGGTTGTGGCTTGTTATCCGGAGAATATGATACTCTCTGTGTGGAGGGGCAAGGGTGTGGCGCAATCATTCACTAGCTGGTTTGCCACTCCCGCTATAGTCCTGACGTACTGCTCCAGTTGGCAAGAGTAGATAAACAAGAGTGTGCAACTCGCGGATGGGTTGGCCCACGGCGGAATTTTTTGTTGACGTAATCTTTTCAACGACGCACGCGCATGCGAGTCTTTTGGAAAGTTTTTCCTCGTGCACTTGGCCGGGCTTTACACTACAAGGTCGGTGCCCAGCACGTGCTCTCACACTGCTCTGCTGCAAAATGCGCGTTTCTCTGAAAAAAGGTGACGTCAACAAAAAACTACGCCGTGGGCAGGGGTATCTGCAGATTGTGCAGGAGAGATTCGGAGTTGCACACTCTTGTTTATCTACTCTTGCAGTTGGTCAGGTCATTGCTGTGCACACGCTTTCGGACCACCAACGAGTTACGTGTGCTTACTGCTGAAGAGGTAATGTGTGACCGTCATGTCATGCAGAAAGTATGAAAGGTTATGCTATGGGCAGACCAATCGGAAACAGCTTCCGGCGACTGATGATCCTGATGTAGATTGTTCATGTATCATCGGATGCACTACAGTGTTCAAGTTAGAACACAGTGAAAGGAAACCGGGGACACATGGATACGGGTCAAAAAGGGAGTTATTCATTATTGACTCAACATCCGTGTTACATGTTGAGGTTGGGGACAGTTGCAGCCAAAATTTCATAATCCTGTGAAATTAAAAATAGGGGTCCCTATGATTGTACTTATGTGTTAGGGACCATGAGTGCGGTGAACGGGATTTTCGATCTTTGACCGCTTGCTGGTGAGCTGATCTACTCACCTCCCACCGCTTTAGGAGCTGCATCTGCGCCTTGATCCTTGAAGGGTGGTGGCGTTCCTACGGATGCGGAAACTCGGCCTCTAGCAGAGTCTGACGCAAGCCGTGATTTTTTTAGGGGCCCAAAGATGGTTAAAATGTTGCTATTTTGCCCAAAATTCCGATGTTTGGACATCCGTATCACAAGGAAGGTGTAGTAGGAACGGATATGGGACCCTCAAATGTTATTGCGAATCCATAATCAGCTTGCTAGTCTACCGAAAATGAACAATCTTTTACGATGATGAAAGTTTTGTGAAAAGTGATCATGAAAATGTGTGGCAATGGCTGATACTGTAGCTAGCCTCCTATCCCTTTGTTCATGTGTTCTTCACACACACGCACACACGCGCGCGCGCGCACGCGCGCACACACACACACACACACGTACACACACACACACACACACCATGACTATACAGGTGGTGACAGTGGGTGACTGTGGCGTAGGTAAGACCTCGCTCATACTCCGCATCACGCAGCAACCGGACCAGACCACGCGCTCCACTCTCGGCACTGATTTCTTCACGTGGCTTGTCACCGTGGACAATGGACGCAAGAAGAAGGATCAAGTGAACGTAAGTACATTTGGAGGGTAGCGGTCAACAGGACCATCTGAATCGACATTTCATAACGGCTTTATTGTGCATGTATTGCGAAGAATGTGATGTGGTGGACGGACATCGAGGAACATCTGACTACGTGTACAATAAGGCAGCAATTATTGGTGGATGATAATGATAAAGATGTAAAAACACTTTGAACTAGTTTTCAGAGTTGTGCGATGCCTGCCGAATCGACAAACACTTGCCTGACTCTGGCCAGCCAGCCAGCCAGAGCACATTAGGATCTCACGCCGCACCTTATTTGTTGGTAGACGTACTGCAAGAGCACACCATCACTCCCTGGTCGCAATACACAGAGTTTCAGGGGTTGTATTTGTATTTTGTATTTATGGATTCTCCACACTGGACTACAGGACTTAGCCTTTTTTTATTTTTTTTATTTTTTATATACTATGTGCACATCCCTACAAAGTAATAGGGGTAATAAAAGAGACAAAGACAACAAAGGAGTAGTAGGTGCTACAAGAGCTGTGCTGGTCAGGCGCAGTGCACTCCTCCGACCATTTCGGTCTCGGAATCGACATGGACTGTGCGAGCCTAAACCGAGGAGTCTCCGTGGTTCAGGTCTCAGCGGCGGATCCAGCGATCTCTACCGGGGGGTTCCAGCATAGTCAAAACTGAATAGCTGATACATGTACATGGACACGCGTATTGTTACCAGTCGTACATTTACGAAATTTAGGGGGTTTCACGGAACCCCTGGAACCCCTCCTGGATCCGCCCTTGGGTCTCATCTATTGGGCTGGGGTATATGGGTGAGAGAATTCCGAATTCCCTAATGTGAATTTTGGCACTAGAGTGATCTGCCACGACCTGCACTGTTTGCAGAGCAGGGGCAGTGGGGTTATTAGTCTTGGACTGACCTGGCGCTGTTTCCACACGCACACACGCACACACGCACACACACACACACACACACACACACACACACACACACACACACACGCACACACACGCACACATGCACACACACACACATACACACACACGCACACGCATACCATTACAGCAGTGTTGTTGTCATGACAGCAGCAGTGTGTTGTAATGGTGTAGCCATCAGGCTAGCTTTCTGTAGCAAGAAGGACCCACGCGCACGTGTGCGTGTGTGTGTGTGTGTGTGCGCGCGTGCGTGTGTGTGATCCCCGGTAGCCTAATCGGTAGGGCACTGTCCTGGGAAGACGGGGTGCTAGGTTTGAATCCCGCTCGTGGATCCTTCTTTAGCATTAGCATTGGTGCCTGGCAATGGCTCGAACGCGCGACCCATTGTACCCCCCACGAGTTGGTACGGCGTGAGGACACAGCCTGCGCGGGTAGGGGAGCAGTGTAGCAAAAAGGAGCCACGGGCGTGTGTGATCTTGGGGAGCCTAATCAGTAGGGCACTGTCTCGGGAAGGCAGGGGTCCACTCCTGGGTTTGAATCCCACTCGTGGATCCTTCCTTTGCAACATTTGGTGTACTGTACTGTTTTTGTTGCCATTGTGGTACCCAGCTGCAGATCTGGGATACGGCCGGAGAGGAGAAGTTCAAGGACACGTTGAGCAATGCGTACTTCCGTAACACACGTGCCGCACTGTTTGTATTCAGCATGGATGACGAGAACACACTCATGTTCCTGGACAAGTGGATCGAGGATGCGCTCGTGTACAGCCCCAAGGACGTCAAGCTATTTCTGTGCGGGAACAAGAGTGACAAGGTGAGGGTTTTGCTATGCAGGGTGATCTGCGGTGTGTGGTGATATGGTGTGTGTGTGGTGTGTGGTGATGTGGTGTGCAGTGTAGTGTGTGGTGTGGTGTGGTGTGGTGATGTGCGGTGTGTGGTGATGTGGTGTGTGTGTGGTGTGTGGTATGCGGTGCGGTGTGGTGTGGTGTGATGCGGTGCGGTGTAGTGCGGTGAGGTGTGTGGTGTGCGGTGTGGTGTAGTGCGGTACAGTAGAGTGCAGTGCAGTATCATCAACTGGGCATTCTCGCCTGTTGAAGCTAGAGATTGTTGCCAGGAACTGCCCTAGTCAAGCCAGTGTATGTACAGTACTAATACAATCCAGGCACTTGCCAAACACTTCACATGTATAGTCAACTTTGCGTATAATGACACTCAGCTGGGCATCAGAAAAGTGTCCTTATTCGCGAAGTCTCATTATATGTGTTACAGTTAGAGGGGACTTTGCTCTGGGCACGGAAATTCTGTCGTTATTCGCGAGTTGTCATTATATCCGCAGTCGTTATTAGCGAAGTTGACTGTATGATCATTGTCATTGGTCCATGGCGTAGTCTGTGCCCTGGCACTGCACAATGCGCGTCACTGGACACAGGGTCAGACTAAAGCCTGGCCAGCCAAAGAGACGACTGCCACCACCATGATTACCATGGTTACCACGGTTACCATGGCTATGTATTAAGGTTGCACTGTCTTCGTATGTATCCATACTATCGTAGGTGTTGTAGACGTGAATCCGATTTACAGCAAATAGTGTGACATGCATGTGCACCGAGAACTCACGTGCACGCACACACACACACACGCACACACGTACGCAGGCAAGCACACACACACACACACACACACACACACACACGTACGCAGGCAAGCACACACACACACACGTACGCAGGCAAGCACACACACACACACACATACACACACACACATACACACACACATACACACACGCATGCACGCACGCACACACGCATGCACGCACACATACACGCAAGCACACACACACGCACACAAGCACACACGCTTGCGCGTACACACTCACTCACATGTACTTCTTGACGTACATACAGACACATACACACACACACATACACACACACTCTCTCTCTCTCTCTCTCTCTCTCTCAGTCTTCCCGCTCTCCTTCTTTGCGTTTTACCCCAGGCTGGTGAGAATGCTGACACGTTACAGAGTCAGGCTGACTTCCTGGCCGAGCGCTACAACATCCGCCGCGTCTTCTACACCTCCGCTCTCACAGGCGATGGCATATTTGAGTTGGAGCAGGGTTTGGCCAGGGAGGTGCTAGGTATGGACCCGCTAATACGCGATGGTGATGTCATAGATCTGGCAGAGCAGGAGGATGATGAACTGGAGAATCCGAGTAACTGTGTGTGTTAGTGACCAGGTGGTCGTAGCACCTGTTACCTACATCCCGGTCCCGGCCAACGTGTGTGTGTGTGTGTGTGTGCGCGTGCGCGTGCTCGCATGCGTGAGAGAGGTTTGCTGGTCAAACGTAGACCCAGTGTGTGGATGAGTGGTCACGCGCCCAAGGACTTGACAACCACACTCCTCAGACCCACCTGTACATTCCCATGTGAGCAGCAGCTGCAATGTATCAGGTTATCACAGTCGCACACCAGTCACTTCTGGCACTGTCTTCTGGCACAGTCAAGTAACTGGGTGCCATCAAGCTGGGCTCAGTGGACTTGCGGAACACGCTCCCTCTCTCTCTCACCGGTACACTGATAGGCAGCAGTGCTAAGGTCTGCAAGACTGGCCTGCCTACTTACCCCCCCCCCCCCCCCCCCCCCCCCGGGTAATATTCCCCGGGACCAGAATCCCCTTGAGACAACAATGCTGCATATGTTCCTATCAGTTCTTTGACAAGGCTGTGTAGTGGATACCTACACTGCACTGTGCTGCTACCGTAGCCCATACCAAGCAAATGAAAGAACATTTAGTGGTGTGTGTGTGTGTGTGTGTGTGTGTGTGTGTGTGTGTGTGTGTGTCAGTATGTGTGTGTGTGTGTGTGTGTGTGTGTGTGTGTGTGTGTGTGTGTGCGTGTGCGCACGTGTATGTGTGTGTGTGTGTGTGTGTGTGTGAGCGTGTGTGTGTCCATGTATCTGGTGCACATCACAATGTGATCTCCCGTTCCCCGGTGACTTTGGTGGTCGGCTGATCTGTACTTCCCCCAGCCTACTGTCAGATCTGTACTTCACCCAGCCTACTGTGAGTCTCCACTTCACCCACCAATGAGCAATGAAGTGGTATTGCCAGTTGCACTTGTTCTCACTATTCACTTCAGACCTACAGTGCTCGCAACTGAAATCTGACCCCCTGAGCGGTGGTGGGTTCACATTCTAGCGGTCTCTGTTTCGTAGTTGTACCATCCCGTGTTGGGTCTTTGCGATGTGAGCGCACCGCTCAGGGCGTCGGATTTCAGTTGCCAGCAATGTAGTTGCGCGTTGGCATGGTTATATAATTTATATTAAGATATTAGCAATTTCTCCAGTTCTGGCATTGTGGGTGCTATTTATTTGAAGTTCTCGCGATTCTCTTTCTTCCACGGTGGCTGCCAAGACAATACTGAGAGGCCGCAATATGTTTGTTGCTCGGCCGTTTGTGCCTCATTGCGGCTGCACAGCCAATGAACTCCAGCATGTCTCGGTGTGCGTGTGCGTGCGTTGGTAGGGGAGAGGGAGGGTGGAAGCGCTGTCACACCGGCGTCGTGTGCTGAGCCCCGCGCTACGTAGCGGGGTTCGTCATGGTTACCGGTTTTGCGATGAATACCGCTGGAGTAAGAACGTCTATAACTTGAACACAGGAAAGGGAGGATGGTGGGGAGAGCACAAGGAGTGACCAGGGAAGACAGATCGTGCACGAGAGGGATAACCAGGACTAGAAATGAGCTCTGCACAAAATACCATGAGGAAATCGTCAAAATGACAAAAAAAGATTCTTCAGTAACGAAACACAGAACTCGTGACATAAGTTTGGAGGCCATAATCTGTGACATATAGATCTACATGTATGATGATCACTTGTTGCCACATTGACAGGAATCACTCGTACATACAGCTCCCCATTTTCCCCCATTGCCCTCCAAAAAACTTCTTTCAGACTATGTCAGACTAGAACCCGTAGCTTACCATTTGCCAATCACGAAACTAACCAGCCATCTATCTGTGCTTGTTGTGGAAAGCACGAGGAAATGTGTGATTTGAACGCTTGATGCACTATAGAGAATCCGTGTATTGAAAGATTATGAACTTTATTATTACGAAGAGCATTGCTCTGAAGAAGCAAGTAGGAGCTCAGCTACACACAGCGACCCCCCCCCCCCCCCCACGCTCGCTCGCTCGCATCCAGCCTGGGGACTCACATACACATGTCGTGCGGGCACATACAGTGAGCATGGCACGCAGGCATCAACACCTAGTCACTCGGAGTTCAATTCATCAAGACTTCACAGGTCACGTGTGCATTGTTGAATCCTGGTTCAACAAAGATTACATCTCAGCAGATGACCCATAAGAGCATAATGTGGCAGAATGCCCAGGGATGAGACTATAATATATTCAAAGGCAGGCAAAAAAAGGAGGAGAAAGAGAACTAAAGAATAAGCACAATCATATTTGTAAATACTTGAAGTATTAAAATGGTAATAATTCCTCAGGTGCAACTGATGAAGTAAAAGCGTGAGGCGGGGGGGGGGGGGGAAGGCGAGCTTCGACTCCCAGTATATTGTGGTCAATACGAGGGGCACATAGGAGCACGTATAGTCCTTAAGTGTGCCTTGCACAATACAAGCAAATGTACACACTGGACCGTCCAAGGATTTCAACCCGTTACCGTACCATCTCTGCCCAGTCGGGAGTCGGGAATTTTCAATAGCATTCAGGTGTGCTGCTCAAGACAAGAGTATGCGTACATACAGTATGTGTCAGTAAATGTACACATGAGCGCAAGCACGCATGCACGTGTGTGTGTGTGTGTGTGTGTGTGTGTGTGTGTGTGCGTGTGTGTGTATGTGTGTTTATAGCATGCATGTGGGTGTGTCCATCTCTGTGCTACATGCAGAATACGGATCATATTTCTTTGCCCAGCCTTCGATAGACCCAGTTCAGCATGCTCTCGTCCAGTTTAGTGTAAACGCCGAACTTGCCCGGCACATTGCAGAAGTTCTCCTCGCCAGCTGCATCGCAAAAAAACACACCACAGGACACAAGTGCAGTACGGAGCTCAGTGACAACCCATGTTTAAAAACTGCCCGTATATGATTGCAATATGCTGTATTTCCCGGAGTCCAAGCCACACTGGAGTATATAAGCCTCAAACAATTTTTTGGCCACGAAATACAGACATCTACCCATCATTAATTTGACCATCGGAGTTTAAGCTGCACAACTTTCTTGGGGTGAATTACTGGTGTTAAAAGCGCGGCTTGTACTCCGGAAAGCACGGTGAGCAGTCTTTTTCACTAGTCAAAACGTATCGGAAAACGTATCGGAAGAAACATGGTTTGGGGCTCTGAACCTACCCAGAGCTACGTCTCGTTACGGCCTGAATGCTATTTTCATTTTTGGCAGCAGACAGATGGAACATGCTTCCACCTGGATGTCGTCAAGCTAAGCCCCTTTCTGCATTTGTCACAAGCACCAAGTCATTCCTAGGGTTCCCAGTAAAAAGGCAACGCCTGTTGGGAGTTCCCTAGTAAAATAATAAATTCTACTACAGTTGAACATCGATTATCCGACCACCTCTGGGCAGACAACTGTCAGGCGGTGTTCAGATAAGGCAAATGTTCTGGATAAGAAAAAAACTGTCACTCACACACTTTCAGTGGTTATTACTAGCCGCACGACCTTTTTACTTTTTACTTTTCAAAATTTTCGTATTTTTTGAATGGCTCACTACATGCACAGTGCGTACTCTACGGCACGGGCGCCCAAAAAAACTGTTACGGATAATTGAATGGTCGGATAGTCGATGTGCGGATAATCGATGTTCAACTGTACTACTACTAGATTGTTGGTCTCTACCGACTAGTGGTGGTCTCAAAGAGCAGGTGGTCTCAAAGAGCAGGTGGTCTCAAAGAGCAGGTGGTCTCAAAGAGCAGGTGGTCTTAAAGAGGTGGTCGCAAAGAGCAGGTGGTCTCAAAGAGCAGGTGGTCTCAAAGAGCAGGTGGTCTCAAAGAGCAGGTGGTCTCTCAAAAAGACTGGTTATCTCTACAGACATGTAGATGTTTATTACGGGATTTTCGCGCACACCTACAAGTACATGCATGGTATATCTCCTTCTCCATTCCTCCCAAACACATGCAGTCACACAAGCACGCACGCACAAGCACCCTCACGCACGTACACACACGCACACACACACACACACGCACACACATGCACGCACACGCACACACACACGCACACACACACGCACACATTGGCACAAGGCGGTGCACCCGAGCCCTGGCGTTGACTGTCACTTGCCAGAACCGTCATGCCGTCTGTACTTACACGGGCCGTAGCTGAGAACGCCAGCGACAAACCATGTGCCCTTGTCATCCTTGCCTCGCTTAGAGCCGCGTCTTCTCATGAGCGGTCCGCCAGAGTCTCCTAGACATGTATCAGCGTTGTTGATAGGGTCATGTGCACACACGGTGCTAGGGCCGGCAGCCATTACTTTCTCGCACACCGACGTATTCAGGGTCTGTAGGCATGGGAAACAGTTCAAACAAACCAATGGAGGCGTTAGACATGTGTGTGTGTGTGTGTGTGTGTGTGTGTGTGTGTGTGTGTGTGTGTGTGTGTGTGTGTGTGTGTGTGTGTGTGTGTGTGTGTGCATGCGCAATAGGGATTCACTGGCCAGAAAAAGTCACTTCAAACAGCTGTGTGGTGGATACCAGGCTAAAAATAGTGGCGGTCAATTCATCAGCCTTGCAAGCTGTTGGATGGTGTAATCCCAGCACAAGTTGCTATGTCTAAAACATAGCTGTTCGCTATCATCGCTCCCGCGATGGGCATGTCTGAGGTCTGAGGTCTGAGGTGTGCATGCGTGCGGGCGTGTGTGTGTGCGTGTGTGCGTGTGTGTGCATGTGTATGTGTGTGTGTAGCATTATTGTACTAATGCAGATTAACGGGTGCACGCTGGTAGGTGCTATACTGCTCAAACTATGGTACTCAAATCGCCAGCATTGCTACTGCATGCTCATGCTTCACTGCACGCTTGCACTACCCCTGTATGCCCGTTCACACGTAATTCACATCAGTGCGTTGGCTGTGGTCATGTGCACCGCAAGTCACGGCAACCATGCCGACCAAACAATAGGGCGCCTGCAACATGGAGCTTCCTTCGGCGTGGCATTCGTGCAATGTGCCAAAGTTCTTCTTTTCTGTTCCGATCCGTTCTGTGTTTGTCTAGTCGTATATATGTATGCCATGCACATGTACAGTCTTGGCAAGTGAAATCCGACACTTGCCATAGGGGACAGCGCCACAAATGGATATCAATGATGTAATGAGCTGTACCTAATTTGTACTTGATTAGAGCCGCATGCATCCCAAACAGGTCGAAAGATCATAAAGTAGATACACACAGTTCACAGACATGGTACACATAAGGAGTATTGGTATCCAGTCCCCATGCATTCCCGCCAGCACCTTTGAACCTTTGAGGTGAACCTTGACTGTGATGAGTACGAGTACTGTCATGAGACAGATAACAGTTGCATGTAACACAATGTAGTCCCGTATCCCGGTCTGCAGGGGCTGCACACTGCATGGTGTAGTCCCTTATGCCAAGTGTCGGACTTCACTTGCCACGACTGTACATAGTAATATTATGACTCAACAATCTGGACAGTAGTCATTTTGCCCCGTTAATTATGCTTCTCACCTATGCGTATGCTTGTGAAATTATTGTGGTATTTTCTTCGTGCAATGGCCAAATGCAACTTCCTGTACGTTGTGTCCAACAAGAATGAGAGATTGAAAGAAGTGTTTTACTCCGAGTTTCACGCACTGTAAGCTAGAACAGTGTTTTCTGATGATGTTAAACTCGGAGTAAAAGCCCTTTTTTCATCCTCTGATTTTTGTTGGGTCTAGCTCCGCCTTTCGGAGTTGAGCATTCTATTGGACAGCTTGGAACCTCTCTGTTGTAAGTTATGTCTTTGTGAATGGCAGTGAGGTCAGAGCAGCTTGTAGCAGGGAGTATTAAAATACCATTATTTTACTACTCCCTGGCTTGTACACATACTCACATATACTCAATCTGCGGACAGCATGCTGTTTCGTTCTTTTTGAACTCATCAGCGCAGCACAGAGAAAATGAGGCCGAACCTGATAGCAATGGAAATAAAAATTTCCAATCAGGCCCGAACGTACCTTGCCAGAGTGCTCAAACTGACAAGTCAGTGAGCTCTGCATAACGCAATCAGCAAAGGCACTACCCCACGCAAGAGTGCTCAACTGCTACAAGAGCATATAGATTAGTAAAATAGGGAGTAGTAAAATACCATTATTTTACTACTCCTGACTTGTACACAATCATACTCACATATTAATATTACCGTAAAGTACCGCCAGAGCGCCCCGTCTCGCGAGAGCGCCCCACCTTGATTTTACAGCCAGAGGAAGGAAGATCGTATGGCAGAGTGCAACGAAGTTTGTACGATGTGAGAATCTTAGTGTACTAAGGTCACACTTGGCAGGTTTTTGTGTGGAGCTTGTGTCCGCTTGAAGGTACGGATTGACTGCTAAACGTGCAATATGTGTACAAGGTTCATGTCGTATGACCTACAGACAGCAGACCACCTCCACAACACGACCACGAAAGGATGAGATGGTGGGGCGCTCTGGCGGTACTTTACGGTACATGTATTATTAGTAAAATCCGGAGTAGTAAAATACCGCTATTTTACTACTTCTTGGCTTGTACAGGCATACTCACATATAAATTGATGGCCTTCATCTTGTCGAGGTTGGGATGGATGTTGTCGGAGCCCACGTCCTTCTCCCAGCCCCAGCCCCCGGATACAACTGGCGTTTCAGGCGGGATCTCCATACTCCAGTCCGTCTCCTCACCTCTTCCACCTTTGTGTGGCAAGCAGATAGTACGAATGGCGGGGCCCAACACTGGGTCGCGATTCAGCTATCAACAAGTGAACAAAGGAAAAGGTAAGCCGCTATTACATGTATTGTTCATAAAATAAAATAAAACATAGCTCAGTGGTTAGAGCATTGCTAGCCTCGAGCCAAGGTCCCTGGTTCGAGTGCTGGTGGTGACAGTCATTTCTTTCTTCAGATTTTTCACTTTTCCATTCTCTCAACTGATGAACATTCCCCTAACTATAAAGTGGGTATTATTTTACACCAACTTTTTGGCGCAGTATACGTCAGTACAATGATCTATATTTATGTCAAATTCAAATTTGGACTTCACGGAGAATTTCAAAGTATTAGGAAATTAGTGGTGTGACTGTGACTGCTGATTTTTTCTTTCTTTCGTATCTGGCTTGCAAGTCTTCAGTTTCGGAGAGAAAAGAGCAGTACGAGGCATGTGCCCCTAATTTTCTTGTATTTATGTCTTTTTTTGGCTCGTAGCTGTACTGATGAGGCCTTTATGGCCGAAACAGCTTGCTGTCTACAGCATTGGGTGTCTTTTTTTTTGTAATTCTTGCTGGCTGGGTTGTGTCACATTCTTGCGTACACTTCAACACGGATAATTAGCAGAGCTGAGTGTGTCTGTGGAAATCTGCCGGCAGACTGTGTGACACACACACACTGGGACTGATAGGAAACCTGTCCCTTCAGATAGGATTTTATTTATAGTCCCACTGGCCTTTGGCCCGATTTTCGCCCAATTAATGCTCAAATAACCACTTTAAATAAATGTGTATAATCTGGGTTTTAGACAATTTCCCATAGTAAACCTGTCCTAATTTCGTGAAATCTGAATAGACAGACAGACAGACCATACACACGTCTCACCTTGAGCAGAGCAATGTCGTTCCGGATGATGCGAGACCTCGGCCCGGACGGCCGGTAGCCATTGAGCAATATCTCGTCCACGCCATAGTCCTGTTCCGTACCTTCATTCAGGGAGTAAATAGTGTCCCCTAGTCTCACCAGTAAATCCTGTTTCAAGTATTTCCCTGCAGCACAGTAAACACGGTGATTGTAGAAGTGAGTTTTAGAAAAAAACCGGAAAAGAAAAGCAGACAGGACATACACTCTTACATTTCACTGACCGTTTCCAGCGTGAGTCGCTTTTGCGAGCACCTCCAAACCGGCCCCTATTCGAGTAGGCAAAACATTCGGTAATTGTGCCTTCTAAGGGCTTTGACAACATGTTTACAAGTGGAACAAGTTGACGGTTCGTGTGAGGTCCAGTCAGATGGAGTGCTCCGTATCCATAGGAACGCCACCATCCTCAAGGATCACAGCGCATCTGCAGCTCTTAATAAATAAAGCGGTGGGAGGGGAGCACATCAGACCCGCAATCAAGTGGTCAAAGACCCAAACATCTCTTCCGCTGCATCCATATTTCCCTTGTGCCAGCCAGGCCACAAGCTCTCAATTAACCGTCGGTCTCAGCACACTTGGACACACTCCAGTTGACCCGCTCTAGAGACAAGACTGCTGCAAAGATCTAGTGCTGCTGGAGGCGCATTGGCTTTTTCGGTTTTTCACAGAAGTGCCCGAGCCAAGTGCTTCCACACCCACCTTGCCCGGCAGTCAAAACACACAGGCAAACGTGCATGCATGCATACAAGAACATGCAAATGTACAGACCAATGCACACACATGCACACATATGCACACACAAATAAACAGACATACAGACATGTACATAAGCATGCATGCATGCATGCATGCATGTACACACGCACACAAACACGCACACACGCACGCCCGCCCACGCGCGCGCACGCATGCACACACGCACGCACACACACACACACGCAACTCTCTTACTGTGAAAACAGTGAGCGGCGGTCAGCACAAAGGCACGCCTGTTAGGCTCCGACATGTCCTTAACCAGGGAACCA